AGCGGTTTTCGCGAGCTTGTTTAGGCATCATTAAGCAATTTTTCCATAGAAAAAAATCATACCGATGCATTTGATTTTTTTTTGAGAAAATCAACTATTTTTGTTGGAATATCGAAAAAATCCTCCTATCAGCGACATGTGCAACTCACAAAACTCCAAATATTATAACATTCGTAGCCCAAGAATAGCTCTTTTCAACTAGCTCAAATTTGTTGAAATTGGCTGAGCCGTTTCGAAGATACAGGGTATTTTTTACAGGAACTTTTGAATACCTCCCACCACTTTTTCTCCAGAGATACAGTAGAAATCGTCGAACAAAAAAGGTTCAGATTTTCATCGACATTGGAAATCAGATATTTTTTGCTAGGTTAATACAGCGGAATTCACCGAAAAATCACTTTTTAGATTCAAGATTGCAGTTACGCACCCTAGCGGTCATTTGAGAAACTTGAAAATATTTTCCGCAAGTCCCTACGATGGATAGATTCCCAGATACAGTACCTCGCATTCTTAGTTGGCCACCCTGTACATCATATTATTTATTATGAATTGTTGGAATAATATTTGATGAAAAGTGCGATTTCTATCGGAAGCACTTATGAGAACTACGCTAAAGAATTTGAAAAACTTCTTCTGACAGTTGTGACAACTATTCAAAGCTGAACAGCATCAGCCAAGATTTGTTCGATTTTTGTTGATTTTCCATGGAAATGTATGTGGTGTTGGCAAAGTGCCGTGAGAAAAAGTATTTCTCACAGTATGAGCAATACATGGGGTGCGTTTTTCATTCCAACATTTTATCATGCGCATGAATCGAAGAAACCATCAAACTGTTGCAAAATTCCGCTGGAATGTTGATGGACATCCATCAAACTGTTGTAATAAAATGCGCACTTTTAAATCGCTTTTCGAGAATCCAGCAGTTTGGAGGAGATTGACATGACAGTTGACACATTTTAGTGTTGTTTTTGTTTTGATTTGATAGAAAACAATTGATATTGAGGATTTTTGAGATTCTTGAGAGATTTTAGAAGAAAGATTCAGTGTTAATCAATAAAATCGAATTAGCCTCTTCTGATTCTCAAGATACATGATGACTGACACACAACAAAATCCGTGTTTCCATCAATGTGTTGTATAAACCATTGTTCAATCCTTCCAGCATGAATTCCAACAGAACAATTGGTGACGTCACGACAAAAAACCGCATCTATCAGTGCGCACTTTCTTCGATGGAATGAAAAACACGCCCATGGTTTTGAAATTAAGTTCTATGAGAAATGCGCTACTTTTTATAGCAGTAGTAGAAAAAATAATATTCAGGTCCCGATATTGATTTCGAACGTTTTGAATAAGGTGTGGTTTTTAGATTTGAAATTTCATTGGTAGAAAACTGTCTAAAAAAGTCGAATAAAGAAGAACTCACCTGTACTCTTCCTGAATCGATCTTCTTCGGGATTGCAACCACCTTATTCGATGATGTTTTGTATACGAGATTTGTTTTGCATTTGTTCGATGAATAGTTTTTCGCCGAATATATGATTCTCAGCATTTTCAAAAGCGAATAACGCATAAACCGTTAGAGATCGTAGTTTAAACAAGATGAATACCCTCTTATAGATAGCCAAACTGAAAAGAGGTGGAAAGTAAGATAATAAAAGCGTGTTGATAAATACACATAGAAAATATGAGCATCTCCATAATCAGTACATTCTATGTTGGTTATACAGGGTGCCCGTTTCTCGAGCTCCACCATGGAAATCTCAGCCCAGCGAGCACAAACATCCCTGGGATGTTTTGGGATGTTTTGAAAATGTTCGCAAGAAGATGTTATTCTAAGACGTAATATGCACTGACCAAAGAGGTCTTTGAAGGATATTGAAGTATTGTTTTTGTTCTTCTGTGGCATTTCTTTGTTTGCCTACTGAGAGGTATCCCTGGAATGTTTTGGGATGTTTTAGAAATGTAGGCATGAGGATGTTTTTTTGGGGCGTGATATGCACTTCCCAAAGAGGTCTTAGAAGGATATTGAAAGTATTGTTTTTGTTCTTTCGTGCCCTTTCTTTGTTTGCCCCACCACAACGTCTCATGCTTACGTCACAATACGATGAATTCTGATTTGTTTTCGATTTTGTTCTTCTTGTTCGCAATTGGCATTCGCGTTTGCAGCGTGTCACGCTTACATCACGCTGCTAACGAACAGAAAGGAATTTGGTGAAGTTTATTGTGTTAGAAGACTTATTTAGTTTGTAATAATGACCATCAGATGCAAGATGTGTTGTTCGGTGCCTCAGTGTAATCAATATATAAAAATACGAATTCATCAATACACAGCTTCTCCGCAGTTGCAAAATTATGCATTGTGGAGAACATTTCAAAAATTGGGAAACCTATTTCCAATATATGTCTGTGTGTAGTAAGCACTAATCAGAAATCGATTAAGAAGGTAATTTCATATCAAGAAAATTAAAAAATTTATGTTCAATCTATTTTAAATGCATTTTTTCATTCAAGGGAAATGGAATCCTAATGCAAAAGTTCATTTCGACAAAAGGCTTCAGAAAAGTACTCGGAAAAGTACCTCGAAAATGTTTTTTTACAGCGATTTAATGTGCGCAAGACGCGTTGAAAATGTTCTGTTGTGTCCATGAAAAGGCTTTAGAAAGAACTAGGGAGAAGGTAGTTTTGTGACATATCAAGGACATCTCGATAATTGCCGCCTGTGGCGGACATTGGCTGTTCTATAATAGTTCTATTCATGTGTGAACAGAACATCGCAGTGGAGGTTCAATGTCTCGAAATCTCGTACTTTTAACATCTCTGAGATGTTTTTGTGCTCGCTGGGAGGGTTGCAGAGTGTGTGTCAGATATGTATTCCCTGACAAGGTAATTTCCAACAACGAAGACATACGTTGGCCAGCGCGGTCACCTGATCTCTCTCCTATAAGGAGGACTAAGATGAGAAAGACGGAACATTTCGCGAGCAATTCAGAATCTGAGGAAACACGTAGAATTGTGTTTAGCAATGGAAGGTGGAGTATTCGAGCATCTTTTATAACTTTGCCTCGTTTTGTTTTGCGAAGAGTGAACTTCTAGCTCATTACGTCGTTCCTAATTCAAAACCATAGTTTTTAAGTAAATATAAGCTTGACGAAAAAGTGAACGTTCCAGATCCAAATTCAATTTTACTGTCGAAATTCAGCTAGTTAATCAAATCTGTTGGCGTTCTCTCCAAAGCACTCTCCGTAAAAATGATTTTCACCCAATTTTGATCAACAGGAAAGATCCGATCATCATTGTTATCAGAAAAAAAAAGACTTTTCGAAAATCCAAAAAATCCAATATGGCGCCATAAGAAAAAACATTGTATGTTGTAAGTTTGGCATCAATATAAGAAGGTCATGGAAAATACAATGACAGATTCAGATTCCTAATGAAAAATAAGTAATAGGTCAGTTGGTTTCCACTTGAAAAAATAAGAACGAAAATAATAATAAATTTTCGTTTCCATCCAATGATTCGAAAACTAAAAATGACATCAAATTTTCTTGCAGATAGATGTTCAGCTTGAAAATGCGCAATTTTAGCCTAATTCAACCGACCTCGTATCTCTTTATAAAAACTGATGAGATCTCCATGGTGGAGCTCATAAAACGGACAACCTGTATTTATCAACACACTTTTATCATTTTATTATCTACTTCAGTGCGGCTTTCTGTTAACCATAAAAGGTTGTCTCTATAGTTTTGCAAACTACTATTTATTTTCTATTTTTCAGTTCGGATAACTACGAAGCGTGTTCTTGAGTGTTCTTATATTTTTTGTGAGTACCCGATTTTGACGACCAAATCATAATCTCCTACCCCGACAATCCCCAAATACTAATTTTTAGTAGAATCGGATCATGATTACAAAAACCCGTCCGCCTCATCATAATCTTGAATTTCCAAATGCTAACGAAAGATATATAACCTCCGATCCTGAAGACCCCCAGATACAAATTTTGAATAGATATTAGATCCGCCATCTTGAATTTACCAAATTTGACAAAAGAATCATTATGTCCGACCTCGAAAACACCTAGATACCAATTTTGAATTAAATTGGATCATCTTTACAAAACTCTTCCGCCATATTATATCCGACATCTTGAATTTCGGAATTTCGACAAAAGAATCATAATCTCTGATCCAGAAAACCCGCAGATACAGATTTTGAATAGATTCGAATTATAATAATTACAAAACTCGCCCGCCATATTGAATCTGCCATTTTGAAATTACTTTTTTTAACGGAAGAGTCATCATCTCCGACCCCGAGAACTCCTAGATAGCAATGTTGAATAAAATAGGATCATAATTACAAAAGTTGTCCGCCATTTGGGAGCTGCCATTTTGTTTCTTTACCTAACAAAAATAACATGATGCATTGCTACCTGAACAAATCAATTGGTCCGTTTGAAGTGGGTCAAAATTGACATACATACATAAATACATACATACACAGTACACACACACACATACATATACATACATATATACATACAGGTGAAGCTAATAGGGTGTTAAAAGGAGAGTATTTTTTATGAAGAATTGAAAGTGCTTTATTTATTACATACTTCAACAATTATTCAATTGGCAAAAAAGATATGATCTAATTTACTGCAATATAACAGAGTGCCACAATCGCCCTTAATGAGCAATCACAAAATGAGTTACAAATTCATATTTCTGATGGCAGCAAAAGCAGTAACATTTTGAATAGATATATTATAAGGCTGAGTCCATATTAATTCTGGTGTTCACTATTTGTAGTTCGGAGATTTTCCATTCTCAATGAATCATCCTGTATTATCAGTAGGTAGGTTGATTATCTCAAAAACAAACTTTCCAAAGAATATGTAAATATATATATTTGTTTCTTCATGATAACAGAGTATCGAAGAATATACTAGATGATTTATTCAAATGTGATTTTTTCAAACTAGAGAAGTTTGAAAATCAATGTATTTTTTGGAATTTCAAATATATACGTTGCTTCATTTTGATAAGGAAGGTATCTGGATCGATATCCAGTGGTTTTTCAGTGCTTGGACTTGGAAAAACTTTGTAGTTCCTCAAGATGGTTGCCAAACCCAGTCTGACCTGCATGAAGGCGTAACGAAAACCTACAAAAAAAAAATACAAATAATGTAATCAGTTATCAGTGTTCAACCAAAATTCAAAATCATGTAAAATAAACCCTTCTCAATTGATGAACTAGCAATAACTGAATATTTTTTATTGGTGCCATATATTATATACCATGCTTATTTGAAGAGCGTGTTAAAATCCAACTTTAAGAACGTGCGTTTTTTAATAAAGTTACCACGATAACACACGGCAACATTGCAACGACTAGAGAAACTTGAAGTCTAAAAATGTCAACGTTTGAATTGTCGATCTGACAGGAGCCAAATGAAATATCACTAAAAAATTATGTTCAACCATTTTACATTATCACTTCGTTGTTTCCATATTTATTATCTGAATTCTCGAAGTGTACCAATGAAAAATATATCGTGAAGTATTCGTGGAAAGCTGGTCTTCCAAACACTTGCTCTATTTCGAGCACTCAGGCAGGCCGTCGTGCCCAAAAATCGGGCGTGTTTGAAATATAGATATGAGTTTTGAATTTGAAGATAAAATCATGTTTCTAACTATCTTGTATGTTCTATCGTTATGGCAAAACTTATTCTGTTGAAAAGGAATATTCTCAGATGAATTATGGACATACAAAATGGATATATATAGCTAAATATATATCCATTTCTGTATGTCCATAATGTATCTGAGAATATTTCTTTTCAACACTTTCATACCCAATCAGGGAGTTCAAACTTGAACGATGGAAACTTGTGATTTTTATAGACCTCTAATCGCAGATTCGTGATAGAGTCTCAATTCAGAATTTCTTTCCACGCCCTGTATGATATATGTCAATTTATCATACACCCAAAAGCAAAACTTATTCTGTTTGAGGTGTCTGCAATGGTTATACAACATTCCAAAGTGATGTCTATTATTACAGCTATTCAGTAACTTGGATGGGTGTCTTCAAAGAACTATCGGACACCTATACACCGAGTTTCTATAGTTTTTGATTTTACTCTGAAACGTCCTATCGAATTCTAACAAGGGGACAATTTTCTTATGAAACTGAATATTTTCTCATATTTTCCATTCACTGACCATCATTTCTTTTGATGGGTTTTCTAATAGTGAACCTTTTGAACGCAGTAACATTTTGGGGCAAATCATCTATTTGTTGGTTTTACAAACGGTCATCTGAATGGACCGACTTCCATGTTCTCTAGATTTCATTCCAATTATGTTCACTCACCAATGCAATGTCTGGGTCCACCTCCGAACGGATAATATACTGATGATTTTTGATTTCTATCCTCGAACCGGTCTAGATTCCATTTCTCCGGGTCTGGATAATAGTCTTTATCTCGATGCAGTGCCAGAATTGGGATCATCACTTTTGTTCCCTTTTCAATGGTTAAGTCAGTACCTGGAAACTTGTAATCCTGCATGCAAATCCTTGGAAGGGTTGTTACTGGAGGCCATTTCCTTAGAGTTTCTGAAAGTATCAAATGAAAGGGGATAACTATGACGTTATTATAGTCATGGCAAAAAAATTAGGCATGGTCAACTGAGAAATTTCGTGACAAACTCTTATAAAGCGATTGATGATCTAGTAAATTCAACAATATCGTACTCCTGAATACACCAGTTGATTGAATAACTATAACAGATTGTCCATTGTTTTCAATAAGGGCTGTGGGCCCTTTCTACCCTAGTCTGCAGCCCATGAAGCACTTATGTAGATCGTCTGATAGTCTATTATGGTTCTTCAGTGCATATATAGCCATCTCAAGTGGTATTTCCACTGATTTTTCAATTTCAACAATTGAAATTCCATGAATATATCCTAAATATCTTAGTGTTGCATTTGAAATTGATACAAGTACTGGTAAAACCAGTATAAATTTTTACTGATGATCAGGTAATTCAGGGATGGAGCCAATGCAGAGCACAGACCTGTCAAAAACGTCTTTGGCATGCTCCATGGAAAGAGCTACGTAGAGACAAATTAATCACTGTATTCTCACAGGAGCATATCTTGTTCAAGTCTGATGTTGCATCACGGATATAAGTCATCTATGATTTTATCTGGGGCGGACATTCATCTTTGCTATATCTCTGATGGGAACATCTCTGTGATGAAACATGGCACATTTGAAATGCAGCAGTGATTAAGTTCCTGCATGTTTTGGTCAACTGGGTGGTTTGTGGAAGAGTTCACCATTCAAACCTCCACCGATTGGTATTTCGACGGTAAGTATGAGGTTATATGTTTCTTAAAACTTTAGCAAAGGTGTATAGGTAGTTATCGCAGGTTATTTTACTAGATTATTGCAAGAAACGTTGTTTGTTCTGTTCAAATTTTTCTGAATGATGGATCGATTGGGTACCTAAGTACTACGATTATTTGGTATTAAGTATAAATTGTCTTGCGCCTCGATAGCTTCACCTACTAGATTCGAGTGCCGAGTTAATTATAAGAGGGGTGTGTGTGTTTTTATTGACTACTGGTTCAGAAAATAACTAAAACTACCTTGGTAGAAAAAACAAACTCCTTTCCTTGAAAAGAAGTGAATAATAGTAGTAGGTTCTACAGCTGAGGGTGCTGGAAAATAGTTAATTATACGCCAAGGTAGTGAAAATAACATCATCACCCAGGGACCAAGATTATAAGTATAGGGTACCGTTGTAATATTCTCTACTACTTTTTTCCATCATGCTGGAAGACAGCTAGAGTCCAACCAATCCCCAAAAAAAGGAACAAGAACCTGCCCAACAACTACAGGCCCATTGCCCTGTTTTCAGTAATCTGCAAAGTGATGGAGAAAGCCATCAACATTGAGCTCATCAAATATCTGGAGAGCTCGGGAATCATCAATGATAGACAATACGGCTTTCGCCACTGAAGATCTACTGGAGATCTACTTGCCTACGTCACCCATTTATGGCAAGCTTCATTAGAAAAACACGGGGAATCTCTAGCTGTCGCTTTGGACATATCGAAAGCATTTGATCATGTTTGGCACGAAGGACTCCTCCACAAACTACCATCATACTACCACCTCAGCTATGCCATCTCTTATCGAGTTTTCTTTCAGGCAGATCGCTTCATGTGGTGGTAAACGGTGTATCGTCTGATACAATTGGCATCAATTCCGGCGTTCCACAAGGATCAATTTCGGCACAAACATTATTCCTTCTTCATGTCTATGATCTGTTGGGAGTAACAACTTGCCCCATCCACAGCTTTGCAGATGATAGTACCCTCCATACTGCGTTCTCTTCAAGAATTCCCATTTCTTCCCAGGAAACTAAGAACTCACGGCGCAAGCAGGTCAATGCAGTCAATGAAGACTTTGCTGAAATCACAGCCTTGGGAACCAACAACCTAGTTGATTTCAACGCCACCAAAACTCAAGCCTGTATTTTCTCTAGAAAGGCGGAACTCAGTATGCTCGACATTGTAATGTCTGGCACCACCATCCCCACCAAGCCCACCATATCTATGCTCGGCATTTCCATCAGCAACACTCTCTCATGGGATAAACATGTCAGATCCATCGCAAAAGCTGCTTCACAAAAACTCGGATTCTTGTTCCGTGCGAAATGCTACTTTACACCTCAACAGCTCCTCATGATCTACAAAGCGCAGATACGGCCTGTTCTAGAATACTGTTCCCACATATGGGGTTCAGCACCGAAACATACGCTGATGCTCTCAAATTCCATCCAGAGAAGAGTCATCCGCCTGGTGGGTGACGCCACACTCACTCGCTCTTTGATATCATTGGAACACCGTAGAAAGGTCGGCGACCTTTCACTTTTCTATCGATACTTCCACGGGAAATGTTCTTCGGAAATCTCTGCTATCATCCCTTCACTAGCAATACCAGTCAGACGAACTAGACAAGCCCAGTCAGCACATCCCTTCGTTGTCAACCTCGAAAGATGTCGAACAGCACTTTATCAAAACTCCTTCATCCATAGAACGGCTGGGCTCTGGAATGCATTGCCTGAGGAAGTATTCCCAACAACATATAATCTCCAGAAGTTCAAAAAAAATTCCAATACCTACCTCCTATTCCTATCCTTCCTAAGAACGCACGATGTTCTTTGAACATTATAGGGATTCCCTCCCGTGCGCTCCAAGTGATAAAAAAAGTGTATATTAAATTTTTTTTCACCACTAGCAATGTCTTTCAATCGTAGTGTTAGTATAAAAGTACCACTTTTCAATTCCAAACAAAATCTAGTAGCCATAAAACTGAAGCAAATTCCGATGAATCTGAAATTTTAGTGGGTTTTTCTATCACGCCCACAACCGACGAAATAATCTGAAGGTCTCAATAATTGAAGAGGTATCTGTTCTTACCATCGATTGCTTGACCAAGGTATTTCATCCCCATGAGCGCTTCATACGACAGATCATTGTCATTTTTCTCGAAGGTGCTTATCACTTCTTCTCTCAATCTGTCCTGAGCCTCTTGATTCTCAGCCAGTTCGAACAATGTCATCGTTGTGGTGGTTGCAGAGGTTTCGAATCCAGCAGTGAAAAATGAAAATGTCTGAAAATGAAAAACCATCTTTTCATAGGTCGGTACTAGGTGTGGGATGGGACATCACTCAAAGGGAGATTCCTTGTCCGATAATAATGAATAATTATTCAAAACCGATAATTCATGCACCCTGTATCTCCGTTATAAAGACTGTGAGACTTAGTTAGTAAGTTCTTTCGAGCGATTTTTTGACTAAAATATATCGAATAATCATGATTAACACTGATTTCATAATTTCAATACTCTTCAAATTGACATACTTTCAACTTTCTGTTTATGATTGTTACGATGAGAATTGGTGGCGGGAAAACAAAAAGCATCAAATTCGATTCAGTTTTTCCTCCTCCCCACAATTCTTTTGATGTACTGTGTTAATTATTAAATACAGTGTGTTATTTCAATACTTCGAATAAATGACATTTTTTCCTGAAGCCGAACCTGGATTTTCACTCCGCCTGATAGGTGAATGAATTTAAAGTCCCAAGTATAAGCTCCTTACCAAATTTGAGAAAAATATACTGGGTAGAACAATACATATAGACGAATGAATAATTATTCAAAATCGATAAATCGCCCTGTATCTTCGTTATGAAGACTCTAAGACCTATCAAATATGGTATTTTCAGAACCACCTTGGTGAACCCTATCTACCATTGAAATATTTCCCTTTACCTGTGAAACACCCTGTATAAGTGTATGAATATTTTAGTTGGAAAGGTTCATGTTCAGGTCTTGAATTTTTGAAACATTTCAAGAATAACACCAACATAACCCTATCCTAAATATACAATCGATTCACGTGAGTCAAGACAGCATATTTTCGAGAAAAAAGATGATCGTTTATCTGGTTTCAAAACAGTCCAAGGATCGTTTCAACAATTTGGAACTTTGGAACACGAACAAACCTATGGTCACTTCACGTCTGCAGATAGATATACAGGCATATAAATGACCACACACCTGAGATCGACCAATAAGCGGCGAGGATGAATCGATCAAGTTATTTGTGAAAACTTACCTGGCCGATTATTTCGTCCATAGTTACTTGTACTCCTGAGTTTTTCAGTTGGATCAACAAATCCAAAAAGTCTTTTCTGACCACATTATTTTTTTCTCTGTACTCCACCGTTTCTTTGATAATTCTACTGTATTGCTTTGATACCTCCGGTTGCACATTGGACATTTTCAATTTTTCTGCCAATTTGGGGAAATTTATCGTCATGAATAAACGGATCATGTCTATCGGAGAAAACTCCTCGAAAAAATGTCTTCCGAGTCTTCGGAATTCCGCATCCGGATTTTTGAAAGAATTGCATTCCACACCTAAGATCGCCGAACCTGAAATATTATGCACTTTGAGTGAGCCGTGAGCTATTATACAGGGTGTATCTGAATAACATAGCAAATAAAGTTCATATAAACATGTGTCCTAACTTGCTCCGTTTTTGAGATACAGGATGTTGGAGTTGAAAGTATTAATTCTTTTCATTCATAACCTCCCTGTATAAGCTTTCATGGAGCCAAAATTCAGTATGGATGGAGACTAAGAAAGCCCCGAAATTTCAAAATGATTCTAATTGGAGTTATTGAGTAATCTCAATGGAAGTCTTGAAATGAACACCTACATTAAGATTTGGAGTCAAATCGAATTTTTATTGTTTCCTAAAAAATAAACCAAGTTACAAAAATCACACGAAGGATAGGAAAGCTGTTATTTTGATAGTTCAATCTAATAAAAATATGAAACTCAGAAAAACCAGTAGTATACAATGACATTCACCAAGAATATCGATAAATTTACCCACTGTCACGCCACTGGAAATATTATTTCGAATCTCATTGCATTAGAAGAAGCTCCATATTACTATTAACAAAACCACAACGTTTTATTGAAATTTATGAAAAAACAATTGAGAAATGAATAGAAAAAAGATTTTTCATGAAAATATTAATTTTTTTCTGTGACGGGAAAAAAGTTCGGCATTTCATCTCTGTTGGCAGGTTATAAGATGTCACTTTTCAGAATTTGACTGACAGAAGTGACATCAGATATTTGATTACTTCAAAAGAAATGATAAAGATTCCTACAACGCAGGTGTCCCTACTGTTAAAAACTTAAAATTTCACGTCGATAATTTTCAGATTTCAAAATAATGTAATATCTTCTCAATATTGATCCGTCCTTCCTTCTGTCACAGAAAAAAAAAGTATATTATACACGGGAAAAATATTAGATTTCAGCTCACGGTTTTTTGTCTCCATTTGCTACGCGTCGGGAGACAACACAACATGGAGCTAAAATCTACTACTTTTTTCCCTTGTATAATAAATAACTATTTTTCTCATGGACTTATATTTTGAAGAAACTCCGTGGGCAGTGACAACATTTTCAAACTCTAAAAAAAAGTCGTGAGAGTATTGGGGAACGCTGGTTACCGAGATCATTGCAAACCGTTATTCAAAAAGTTGAATATTCTTACTTTACCTTCCGGTTTCATCTCACTTGTCATGTTTGTAAAGGAAAATGAGAACTCTTCATCTTTGAATTCATCCCACCATGATTATGATACTCGGAACAAAAGATCCTTGAGTATACCCTACCACCGGCTTCAAAAAACGCAACAACCAATTAATTATACATCTCTCAAGCTTTTTAACAAACCGATCAGAAAATTCAAAGCAGCAATTGTGAAAATTTTACTGAACAATGCCTTCTATTCACATGATGAATTTATTGACTTTCCCCCTCTTAATTGGTTGAACCAAGAGGGCTACAATTATAAATTTCGAGTGTCCCCTTTGAAGATAAAATTGACCAGTCCTCGATTTTTCATATTATTCACTGGAAGGAAGATATTGAAGGTGGGAAGTTTTCTTAATGTCACCCTGTATGCGTTTCACTGAGAGAAAACTTGAGTTATCATAATTGGAAATCTGATAACCGTTATTACGATATCTGCAACAAATACAGGACATATGTGTTCATTTGCTTGTACCTATAGTTATGGCAGCATTTTCCAATTTGCAAACTTGTATAAACACCGCTGCTCAATAACTACCACTTGTTCTAGTTACACAGCAACAACATTGCAGGAGAAAGCGAATATTTTTGCAGAGATGTTCGCAGCAAACTCCCGGTGCCTCGCCTTCTCGATAGGTCAAGTTTCATTTGGCTCCACACATGTTCAATCAAATTCAGATCTGGAGATAATGCTGGTCACCACATTCTTCTAACATTATTGTTCTCTAGAGTTCGTAATTTGTCAGATAAGTTGTGGAACACTCACTATATTGAACAACAATGCTCTGTGTCCTGTGTCTCATACTTGGGCAATTAATATTGGAAATCCGTTGATAAAATGATGACAATCATCGATATCAGGAAACAAGTTTGAATTGAAAATTTTCACCCTGTATTGTCCTATTTTCTTATCACCCTTTTCGAATAGTTTTAGTTGATATAAAGTGTTACAAATTTTATTTTCCATCGCGTTTCACTTCTATTAAATTTTTTTGTGATAGACTTCTCATGTCATATCGTAGTTGTAAAACACTCAGTATATTGAACAACAATTCTCTGTTTCTCATACTTGAGCAATAAATATTGAAAATCATCGATATCAGGAAACAAGTTTGAATTGAAAAATTTCATCCTGTATTTCACTTAGAGGCGAATTTTCGAGAACATCTCGAGTTAGTAGTCTAATATAAATGATGGATATCGAGAAGGCCGTTTCTGAATATACTGGATCGAATGGGCCATAGTTTTAGTCACCATTTTTGAGATTTTTTTCACTGAAATGAGATTTTGTCCTACTTTCTTATCATCCTGTATAATCCAAAAAAGTGCTTTTTTCGTCTTTCATCATCCTCCATAAAACAGCATGAGAACAGTTCTTTCCAATAGTCAGCTCAAGTGGAGTTCTAGAGAAAAAAATCAAGAAATGCAAGACTTGTATCATAATATGACTGACTTTTGATCAGAAAAAAATTTCTCGAGTTCTGGCAGCATTGGAAATGTAGACCATAGTGTAATGGTTCCACTTTACACCCTGTGTGAGTTTTGTTTTGCGGACTTTTTCAGATTGTGCTAGCTCTCTTTGAAGTCGATGAAACATCACATCTGATATCGAAAACCGCATGAAGATCGGTCAATTTTTTAAAAAAATACAGGTCTTCGAAATAGAGTCAAATTATGAGTGGTCCATTTGGTGTGTTGAGAACTGTATAAAATCAAAAATACAGTGCTGTAATTCGGAACACGTTTTCATCAGGATTCAGCAGCAGTTGATCAGCTGGTGAAATTTGTCAGTTGTCATTGATCTGGCAGATGCACCTGCTTGAGCTAAATGAATAACAGGCATTTTCTGATATCAAAATGATATTATTAATGTATTATTGATAAGCCAAGACTTAATGTTTGAAAACAACGGAAATGAATGTGTCATTCCTTTCCCCTCGAAAATAATGACAGTTCACTGAAGCCACACTACCTTTTAAAAGTCAGGAATTTCAGCAGAATGTTGAGTCGAAATATTTGGAATGAATAGTATATCTGCTCACGAGTACCTGTCACTTTCAGTCAATTTTTTTGATTTCGGGATGAAAATTCAGCAGATTCAGTGCTGTCAGTTGAATTCGGAATATAGCCATTCTATGCCAAACTGTCATGAGTGTCAATTGTAATCTGTCACATAATAAATCACGATCGTATTGTTGATTGTCGAAGTTGAAGAGGTTGAAATGAAATCCATTATGCAAAAGGTCATCGTGATTCCATTTTTATTTATAAAGCCAAGTCCAGATATTACAAGAGGTTATGGGCCCAGATAAACGTATATCTAGGTGGAATTAAAAGTGGCTTGGCTGGAAATTATTATTTCACGTTAACTCTGGGAGTAACGGGCAGCACGTACAGGAAGTCATACTCTGAAAGTTCCTGGAATCATGGCAATGCCGAATTCACTGGCGGTCACCCTGAAACCAATTGATGGAACACATTTTTCAAATTGGAAATTTCGTTTGAAGTTGATTTCGAACAGGATGAATCACTGGGAATACTAGAAGAAAATCCTCCAACTGGGGCACAAGAACTAGCTATATTTAGGAACAAAGATATCAATAAAAAAAAAACTTTTTTTTAATTGACTCAGCCGTTACTCGAACTTTACAAACACACTAAAAATATACTTGTACAGGGTGTAGCAGATAATGTGGAAACTGTGAAAGACAAGGAAATTGTAAGGATAATATGTATGAGACCCTGAGAAGCACATACACAACGAAAGGATTATCAATACAAGTAGACTTGCAGAACAAATTGAGAAATATGAAATTTACTGATGGTTGTTTAGGTAATTTCATAGTAGAATTTGAAGAAACAGTATCAGATCTGAAAGCTAGTGGAAGTAAACTGGAAGAACCAGAAATTATACAGAGGTGTGCACAAAAAACGGCTAGAGCTGTAACTTCTAAATCATTCGAGATCGAAATTTGAAATTTGGTGGGTAGCAACTATACCATATTGTTCATTTATTAACGAGAAGAAAAATCATTCCATCACTTCCGGTCTAACCGGAAGTGACCCAAACTTTTGATTTTCAAATGGAACCCTCTGTATATTTTTCCATTTTTAGATTCAGGGTATCATTTCACATACACCAGTAGTTTTTCTGGATCATTTTGTGTGAAACAGAAAGAACAACAAAATGAACTCCACATCAATCTTCATTATTTTCAGTAGCATAGAAAGAGGGGCGATAAAAAATGTATTACAACAAATGCTCAAATTGACTTCCATTATTGCTGACACCTTCTAGCTACACTTAAAGTTGCGTTGTGTAAAAATGCTTGGGGTAAATTGCGGCAAGCCTCTAATATTCGATGCCTAAGGATTTCGATATTCTCTGGCTGAAATAGATAAACTTGATCCTTCAAGTAACCCCAAAGGAAGGAATCCATGTCTGTCAAATCTGGACTGCGAGCTGGCCACCGTATCGGTCCATTTGTTCCTATCCACCTTTCTCCAAAGTGTGTATTCAAATAAGTCACATTCAAACGCGTATTGTGTGGCGGTGCTCCATCTTGTTGGAAAATGACTTCATACCGATTGACGAGGGGAAGTTGGTCCAGAAAATTTTCAATATAACCAGTAAGCAATTCAAAATACTTATACTGGTCTAAAGAACCGTCGATGAAAAACGGGCGTACCAACATATCATCAAGAATTCCGCACCA